ACCCTCCCTTACACCCAGTCCCCGAGCTCGGCAGGTCTGGACACCTGGGCCCCCAGGGAGGGCAGGGAATCGGGCAGGGTCCCTTTAAGTAGGCTGCTTGCCCATGGGGGGCCAGGAGACGGGGAGTCATGGGGAGACGGAGGGTAACCGCCCGTGTGACGGCGTTCCAGGCGGGGAGCTATCCGTGCAGCACAGGGTGTTACAGGAACCAGGAGCAGTCAGCACAATCCACCTTGGGGGTAGCCCAGCCTCCAGGGCCAGCTAGACTCCCTTCTCCCTAAGCCAGCTGAAAACTAAACTCCCCCACCCAGCAACTGGTCCCAGCCCCGCCTCCTCCTTAGTCCTGCTTCCCCGGGGCCCAGGGTGTTATCTGCTCTCACCGCTTGGTTTCCTGCCAATAGGAGCCAAGAGCTTTTGTTGAGGGTGGGACAGTGTGTGACGTCTCCCCCACCCTGAGAGCCACAGGGAGCAGCCAGCTGCTTTGAGCGACGGGCGGCTGGGGTGGCTCCAACCTGATGAAAAGGCTGGGTGGGCTGGATCCTGCCCACCCCAGGTTAAAGGGTTTGAATTTGCCCCTGTTACTGTATCGCTTGCGCTCCCTTCCTAGCCAGGCCCAGCATTCCCCCTCCCCCATCTTACTCCTCCTTTTCCATCCCCAGAGCTCACTTGCACCCTGCTGCTGAAGAGCCTCTCTCTCACAGACCGGGTGAGTGGGGCCCTGAGCCCGGGATGGGGGGGAGGAGGGGACGGACCCCGATTCCCCTTTTCACACCACGTTGCTTTTCTCTGATTGCGCCCAAGGAGCCAAACTCAGCCCTGGGCAGAGAGCCCCTGGCCAGTCAGGCCCCTACAGGCTAGCCACCAGATATCGACGAGTGTCTGGGGCCCAACCCAGTGAACTGTGGGCCCGATGCCAAGTGCAACAACCTGCCTGGGAGTTTCAACTGCACCTGCGCCGATGGCTACGAGTCCAGCTCTGGGAAGGCCAGGTTCCCGAATGCCAGCGAGAACAGCTGCCAGGGTGAGCTCTCCCTGCCCCAGCCTGCTGAGCCCCCTTCCCACATGCTCATTCCCAGCAAGGGGCCACCTCAGGGCTGCTGCCGGCTCTGGCAATGGCCCGTCAGCGAGGCCGAGATGAGACGTGACCCTCCGTGGTCCCTCAGAGCAAGGGGGCAGGAGCAGAGCCTGGGGCCGGGCTCTCCCCTGTGCCCAGAGCTTGGGGGTGGAATAGACCCCGGGGTTAGAAACAGCCCCACGGAGCAAACTCCTCGTGCTGCAGCGATGCGCTGGGAGGGGGAAGGGCCCCAGGAACTGGGCTAACGCAGGAGTGGGCAAAACATTGTGATGGGGGCCCAGTCCAAGGTGTTGATGCTGCTTCCATGGAGGAGACGTGGGGTCTGGACGGAGGGTGGGTGCGAAGGGTTCTCGGGATAGAGGACTGGAGGGTGGGTCTAAGGCTAAGGTCTAAGGCTGTGTCTACACTAGGGAATTATTCAAAATAAATTATTTTGAAATAATAACTCCCAAAGTAACTCGTTCGAAACAGCGTCCACGCTACAGGGAAGCCTCAAAACTGGTCCGAGGCAGGCTCCCCTAATGTCGGGGGGCGCTGGGGAGTCATTACTCAGTGACTCGGGGGAGTCGTTATTTCCAAATAGCGGCACTGGAGCGTCCACACACGGCGATGTGAAAAGAACTCCTGAAATGAGCTATTCCTGGGGGTGTTCAGTGGCCACTAATTTGCTAGTCGAGTAGCCGATGGAAACTAGTCGCTAGGGAAAGGCAGTGGCCGCGCTCACTTCCCGGTCTCAGGACAGCACCCCGCCCCTCTGCACTCTGAAAGGGACAGAGAGGAGCCGCACACAGACGCTGGCTCTACCTCTGGTCCCCTGCTGGGTCCTGAAATGAGCTATTCCTGGGGGTGTTCAGTGGCCACTAATTTGCTAGTCGAGTAGCCGATGGAAACTAGTCGCTAGGGAAAGGCAGTGGCCGCGCTCACTTCCCGGTCTCAGGACAGCACCCCGCCCCTCTGCACTCTGAAAGGGACAGAGAGGAGCCGCACACAGACGCTGGCTCTACCTCTGGTCCCCTGCTGGGCCTCAGGACGACCTCCCCCTGCCGCCACTCGGCCTTTTTAAAGAGACAGAGCGACGTCCCTTTAACAATGCAGGGTGGCTCGTGGGGGCGGAGCTTGTGCTGAGACCCAGGGACTAGCTGCTGCGGCTCTGTCCCTTTCAGAATGGGGGATGGCAGTGGGGGGGGGGGGGGGCGGGGGC